TCTCTTAACTTTGGTCAACTCCTCACCAGTTTACCTGGCCTTCACTGAGTCCTTAATTCAGTGCTTCTCAAACCTCCATGCGCATAGAAATCACCTGGAGTAAAATGCAGATTCCAATTCTGGAGGTGTGGGAAAGGCTGAGTCTGCATTTTTAACAAGCTCACAAAGGCTGCTTCTGTGCCTGGTCTTTGAATAGCAAAGAGTTCTCCCGTATGCAGTTTTGTAATGCCTACTGTGTGCCAAGTTCTCAAGAAACATGGAAGAGAGGGAGAGGGAAGGAGCTTAACAAAGTCTGAAATAACCAGAAATGAAATGAGATGGGCATGGATTCCAGCGGTGACACCTGATAGTATCACTATGATATTATTTATTCCTCACAAAGCTAAAGGGCAATTACCTTCCCAAAATTAAAAAGGCTTTCAAAAACATTTTTGAGTTATTTGATAAACCATTTAGTGCCTCACTGCAGAGGGGCTTGCTTCTGTGGGATTCTCTGACATCACTCTTAACTTTCATTGCCAGTGATAATGACTTCTGAAGCCTGAAGTATATAACAGGATCATTCAGCTTAATTGTCATGAGAACATCTATCTCTGGTAGATAATGGCATGTGTGAAAATACTCTTTGACATGAAATTTAAATGTTTATTATCAACTATGATGTTTCCTAACTTTTAACCATTGCATTTGTATCTTTCCAGCATCAATTGCTACAAATCTATTGGGAATACAGTAGTTTCCCCTTATCCTTGGGGGATACATTCCAAGATCCTAGTGGATGCCTGAAACCATGAATAGTACTGAACACTATATATACTATGCACAAGCTTCTTTTTACTTCTTCACAATTTCATAGATAAATTGTCCTTACCCTAGATTTTAGCAACCTCAGCATACAATTTTTTGCTTTCTTTATTGTGAAGAACTTTTACCTTTTTACTTAAAGGAAGCACTTTGTGGCCTTTCTTTGATATTTGCAAATTGCCAGCATCACTACTCTTGCATTTTGGGGCCATTATGAAGCCAAATAAGGGTTACTTGAACACAAACACTGCTGTACCATTACAGTGTATCTGGCAACCCAGTTGGCTACTAAGTGATTCACAGGGAGGTAGTGTAGACAATGTGGATGGACAATCAACCCTGGACAGAGGGATGATTCATATCCAGGTCAGGTCAGAGTGAGACAGCATGACATTTCATCATGCTATTCAGAACCGTGTGCAATTTAAAATGGATGAATTGCTTATTTCTGCAATTTTCCATTTATTATTTTTGGTCTGCAGTTGACCACAGTTAACTGAGACCTACGGTAACTGAAACCCCAGAAGGTAAAACTGTGGATAAGGAGGAACTACTGTAGAGTGCAATGACATATAAAATACAAAGGGAAAAACTCAGAGTCACCAGAGGACTGAAATATGTTTTGGAAATTTTATTCTCATATTAGCCCCTCAAAACTGGAGACAGATCTGTAAACCAACAATTACTGTACAGAGTGACTAATGCTTTAATAGCAGGATATGCGGGGTATTGTGGAAACACAGCAAAGAGACACCGAATGCATCCTAGGGTTGCAGAATCTTCAGGATAGAATAAGAGCTGCCTGGGGGACCAGGAGTGTGAGAGACCCAAGGATAAGTGCGCAGCATGAGCAAATGCAGGGAGGTATGCAGTGCTGTTTAACAAAGAGGGCTCTGGCAAAGGAAGCGGGACGGATGGATGGAAAGGAAAAAAGCAAGACTCATGAATGAACCTGTCTATTAACTCAGGTGCATTAACGTTGTGAGGATCCTGATTAGAAAACGGTGGGCAATTTCTAATGAGCAAATGATTTATATTCCCTCCATAATATACCAGTGTTTCCCAGTTCTTACTGTGGAAGAAGCACATCTGCACATTCTAGCTTCTAAACTGCATCCACGTTCAGAGTTATGCCTGAGCATGTTCACAGAAAGTATTTGGAATTTTTATAAGTGTGTCTTTGATGTGATTTTTATGAGCAGTGTTAATTTCTTTCCACATGAATAGCTTTAATAATGCTGCAATCTAAATCCTGTTTAAATTAGTTTATATTGTTTTCTGCCTTCTCAGTGATCTTTCCACTGAATACAAAATTGAATTTACAGTTGAGTATTGAAAATGACCATTCCCAATATCCTCCTGTAGCCATCCAGAGGGAGTTACTGGCTTAGTCTTAATTAATATAAATTAAAGTCACTTCTTACATGGCAACAAATATTGACTGGAGTTATCAAGCATGCCTTAACTAATGTTTTTTTAATTTAATTTGAATGTCAGTACATCAATCATATATCGGCCTGTCAGTTTCAGAAAGTTCGGAAATGAAGATGAAATTGGGAGTCTATGAAACTATATTCCTCTTTTAGGCTAATGGAATTCTGCCTCCTAGTACTTGTTAACGTGTTAGAAAATCTCTTGGCTACTTACTTTTGAAAGCGTGTATTTTCAGTGGCTTAATCCTAAGCATATTGTTTCCTCTTTCTGAAACTATAATCTGCCAGTGAATGTATTGTGCTCTAGGTCTGGGTGTGACGAGCAAGAAAATGTGGCTTTCAGACCATTTGAGCAAACATACGTTTTTAAAATTGAAGTGTTTTTTTCCTGATAGTAAAGTTAGTCTATTTATGAACTAAGCCACCACGAGCAAGAAAAGGAAAAACTACCTGTATATGAGAGAAAGAGGAGAACAGCGTTACACTCTGTCCCTGTAAAGCTCATAACAAAAATGTTAAGGATTTTTCTTTCTCTGTGTTATGTAGGCATGAAACTCATAGCAAAGGGGAAAAAATAGTACATGAAATCAGTGTTCTCTTTTTCTGTTGTTATCTTTTCAGAGGGAAAAAAAAAAAAAAAGATTTCTTCTAAGCATTTAGTTTATTTCCGCTGTCTTTGCTGAGGTCCATTCTCCTAACATATATTGGTGGGAAGAGAGGTAGAGAGTGTGGAGAGAGGCAAAATTTATTCTGCCAGTAACGGTGGCAGTGGGCCTCTCACAAACATAATGCTAAATTATGGGCCTCTCCATGGACTGAATGTAATGTTAAGTTGTGTGATGGATTTTATCTTATACAAGCCGCTTCGGTCCATGAAATGAGATAAGAAACCATTGCAGCTGGAGTTCACTGAGGGTTGAACTTAGACTGAAATTCCCGAGTTAACAAAATGGTATAAGCGTCTACAATACTCAGTAAGTGTGTTCTGTGCCTATGGGTTGAGATTTTCAAGGCAACTTGAGTCTGTCATTCACGGGGTGTTTTGTGAGCACTCCCAGGCCAGTTATCTCTGGTTAAAGTGTGAGGGCAGGGGGGCAGGTTCGCTCAGAAAAAAAGCTTTGATCCCCAAATCTAGAAGGCCGCTGTGCAGCAGGAGAGGGCTTAGAATGGTGGCTGAGCGTGGGCACATCCCTAAAAGCTGCTTTCTTCCCGGAGGAAGGCAGAGCTCAACCGCAGGACCTTGAATTAGGCTCAGCCCTACCTTCTTTCAGGACACGCACCTCCTGGGCAAGCAGCAGCCATACTAAGGAAGCTGTACTGGTCTGGGAAGAGGTCTTTGGGAGAAAGCACACTAAAGATGTTTGTAAAGCACCCTATAAATTTACAAAGCATTCAATGGTGGGAAGGTTTCGTATGATGTGTAAAATACTAATAAGAACTCAATAATTGATTTTAAAATCTGCTGAGTGAAATGAAATCTTTTTCTCAAGTATGAATCTCCCCCTGTCTATTCATGTGAACTGTATGTATGTTTATATGCAAACAATACATAAGGATGTCTCCGATGCCCCTCCAGCGGAGGGGACAGTGCCTGGCACACAGTAGGCCCTCAGTATTTTTTAAACGAATGGGTAAGAATCTGAATCTTTAATCTAATTTTGCTCCTGAGTTTTAGAATTCAGAGTCTACCTAGTTTACTTGTAAAAATGTAGGATATGTTTCCCTAAAGCACATTTTCTAGGGATTGCAGAATACAAATGAAAGGATTCTCCCCTCAGGTTTGCCTGGAAAGTAGGCAGTGAGCCTTCAGCGGTAGTCAGATCGATTAATGTTGTAACAGCTGACGTACAACTTCCAGTTCTAATTAACTTAATCACCCACAAACTTCCTTTTTCTCCACCTCCAAGCCACACAACACAAGTTTGTTCCAGTAACCATTCCCAAATAGGCAAGTCTGTTTTCTTTGAAATAGAATTTATCACTTATTTTCAGGTGGAACTTCATTTCCCACTTCCTGTCCCCCCCCCCCCCCCCCCCCCCCCCCCCCCCCCCCCCACACATCTCAAACCGGGTTCAAATGGGCTTTCCATAGCAATCCAAAGCAAACACTGAACACCTCAGGAAACATGTTCTCTTTTGTGGAAAACTAGGAAATATTCTGTTTTTCAGCCTAATTAAATATATGGTATTAGCCCTAAAATGGAATTCGTTTTGAACTACAGTAGAACAAGAATTGACTTACTCCTACTACCTGCCTTAGGGATAGTACCATATATTACGACCAGTTTTAAAGTAATCCAATCTTTCTTCCACATTCTAACACTAAGTCAGCTGATTCTATAAATCAGAAAACTGGTAACACTGTATAATATTTTTGTTAAAGGAGCAAAGAAATGAAGTAGAGACCAAGTAGGTTAATAACAGTTTTTCAAGTCCATCTTAAGAAAGAGAAAACAAGGTTTGGTGGAAGAATTAGGCTGTACCTGATTCCTAAGAATGCCCAGAACAAATCTCCTATAGCTGAGCTCATGGAGTTGGTAGATGAGAATGTGAACCTCCTGAGTGGTTCTCTGGTGCCCTGAAGTTAGATGAGAAAAGAGAAATTAAGTGATTATGTGGCAGTCAGTATCAGGAAAGCTAATTTGTTGAGTTCTGAAAATATATCCACTAGGTTGGACTATGCTCTGTCTTTTGAGAGGAATAAGAATAAAGTGTATTTTCTCATGTTGGCATGATTTGTACTTGGTGGTTTTCCATTTCCAGATGATAGCAAGTTTTCAGAGGCGATCACAGTGCTGCTTTCCTGGATTGAACGAGGGGAGGTGAATCGGCGTTCCGCAAACCAGTTCTATTCCATGGTGCAGTCGGCCAACAGCCACGTCCGCCGGCTCATGAATGAAAAAGCCACACATGAGCAGGAGATGGAGGAAGCCAAGGAGAATTTCAAAAATGCCTTAACTGGGATTCTCACTCAATGTAAGTAAAATGTTGGGGGCCATCTCTTTTGTTGTGATTTTGCCTTTTCTTTTCGATTAATTTTATTTTTTCATTTGGGGGTAAGTAGTTCAATAATCTCCCATTTTTACTCCGCATTGAATGGCAAACCTCATAACCTATTTCATGTTCTGTGGCACCTTGGAGGAACACGGACCCTGCCCTGAGAGTTTACTTCTCAAGGTGAGCAACGTTTCTGTAGCTTTTCCTCAGAACAGCAAGCCTGGCCACCAGGGCAGGGCAGCTAGATGCATCTGTGCCTGCTGGACCCACCACAGTTCATATCATAGCTGCAGGGCCGCCACCCTTCACCCGCAGGCTGTCCACACAGCGCCCTGTGTCCTCCTAGTGCTGACAGCAGAAAGCAAACTTGAACACGTTCTCCTTGGGCTCTGTGTAGGAAAAGGGTACTATCAGAAAAACTCCTCAGGATCTTTTATTTGGGTGAGCTGTGGCTGTCAAAATGAGCAATTCAAGAGCAGGGATTTTTTTTTGTCCTTTCTTCATTTGGAAAGCAAATTGCCTTAACTACTTAATGCCAGTGATTTTTTTTTTTTATGTCCAGAGTCTAAATGATGAAGGGGTGTAAATGGGGCTTTCTCTTAGAACAATAGTCAGGGTAATTACCCAGGGCTCTATTCAAAAAAAGGGCGTATATTTTTTTTATGGGCACTCTATCTGTGTCTGTAGTTAATGTCACAGCGGCATCATGCATCACAGCTGCCGATGTTCTCTTGCTTGGTAAAAGCCATTGAATGACACTGTAACAATGCCACGCTCCATTCCATACCAGGTGCAGGGCCCTACGCGATAGCGACATGTGGGATGTATATTTCCATTCTGAAGATAAGTACTATTTTCTGTGATGTAGTGTGCCAAAATGCCTATCACCTCTTTCATCAGTGCAAACACAAGGAATAATGTATCTGTCAGGATGGGATGGAAGAGAGGGCAAAACCGAGATCTTAAATGTAAAAGTATCTTATATGACTTTATCAAAAGACAGGTTTTACAGCAGCGTAGCATATCGTATAACAAATTCCCAAATGTAAATTCTGGTAAGTGATCTAATATCCAGTATAAGACCAATCTGTCTTTAAAGAAAAGGAATAGGAAAAAATAAGACTGCTCTGTCCTTACACAGACTGATACCAGACCACATTACCTAGATTCACCAGGCTTGAGGAATGACCCTTTCTTTAACAGTGTATGTCTAGAAACTCTAAGGTTATTAGGGATAGAATAAAGAAAAGCAACATTAACAGCAGTTTTTAAAGGAGGGAAGGAAAGAATGGATCAGTGGATGGAGGGAAGGTAAGAGTGAACTGGTAGTGGAGAAAAATAAGAGAGAGCACAGTAAAACAATTCTAATAATACAATTTCTTCAGAGTTATAGTAAGAAGTCTTGTGCCTGAACAGTGAAATGGTTACTGTATGTTTACCTTTTGCTCACTGGCATCAATTTTAAATAAGTTCTAATTCCCATGCAGTTTATAGTCCCAACGGGCAAGGAAGACTCAACCCTTGACTCTAACAATAAAGATAAGAGGGCAACCATGAATAGGCGAGAACTTCATTTTCTTTGGCAGTAACTATTGAAAAAGGCACCTATTACAATGAGGCCCCTATGATGTGGCTGAAAGAACACGAAATGTCTACCTGTCATTATATAGGTGTAAGTTGGCCCATATTTGAAGCAACTGAGAGATGGACAGAAAAGTGTAGCACGTGGGACTACAAATACTTTTTGGTATAACAACCAAATTGGGAAGTGATGTGGAGATTGACAGCAATAATTGGCTTCTGAATGCTGGATGTTGTGTTGAGCATCCAGCTTCAGGCGGTACTGAAGACCCCAGCCACATTCCTGGAGGCTACACTTTGGATACCTAAGCAAGGGAGTAGGTGAGCAGAACAGGCACTCTCCCTGGGCAGGCTGGCTCATCACTCCCTGAGAAGGAGTGAATGAAGGGGTGGAACAGGGCCAGCAAGATCCTGTCTCCTGGAAACCACAGGAGTAGAGACTGCCTCTTAGGCACCTCAACTTTGAAATATCAAAAATGGAATGCTTGCTTCTAATCTTCAAACCTGCTCCCCTTTTGGTTTTTCCTTCCCATTCTCGTAAGTTCTCAAGCCAAAGTCTTGTACTTTTTATAATTGCCATCTCCCACCACCACAACCGACATCTAGGTCATCAGGAAGTCCTGTTGTTTCTCCCTTCAAAAATATACCCCGATTCGGCCCACCCTTCTTCATTGTAACCGCCACCACCCAAGTCAGGCTTTGGTTACCTGATGTGTCAGACATGGCATCCACGTGTGAGTAACAGAAAATTCTGCCAAACGGCGTCTGAGACAAGTAGAAGATTTTTCTCTTGGGACACAGGAAAATCCAGATGTGGGGTTTGTTGGCACTGGTCCAGTGGTTCAAGGCTGCCAGGGCTGAGCTCTCTCTGGTGCTGTTCACTTGACCTGGATAGTTGTCTATGATGGCTGCTGCTGCTTCACTTGCCATCACATCTTCTTTTTCCAGGCTGAAAGCACGTAAGGAAAGAGGAAGAAAGACACATGAAGGAGTTGCATCATTATAGCAAGAAAGCAAAACTTGCCCAAAAATCCATTCCCAGCTAACTTCCACGTAGGTCTCATTAGGCAGAATTATTATACCTGGCCATGCCTAACTACAAAGAATGTGAGAAATACAATTTTTACTGGGCCTGCTGCTCTCCAGAGTAAAATTGGAGTTCTCATAATAAGGCAGGAGGGGAGAATGGCTACTAGGAAGAATTTTGCAGTTTTTGTCATACAGAGTGCCTCCCTTTCTACTTCTACTCTAGTTTGATTTATTTTCACATTCCATCTGATACAATTTAGATCACGTCTTCCCCACTAAACCCTTTGAGTAGCTCCCCATTGCATTTAGAGAATATTCACTGTCCCTAGCCGACAGAGCTCTCTGTGCCCACCTCTTTACCTTCAGTTATCCTCAGACTCACCATGCATCATCTCCATTGACCTCTCTCCCCCTGAGCCCATCAAAACCACCTTCCACTATTCAGTCTTTACACATTCTGTTCCCTCTGCCTGGGGTGCCCTTTCCCATACTCTGTGTGCTTGACGTCTTCTTATCCTGTAGGTCTTGGATGAGGGGCCACCCCTTCAGAGAGGTCTTTCTGGTCCACCCTCTTCTAGTAGATTTGCCATCACTGAATTTTTTTTTTCTTTTTTTTTTTTTTTTTTTTTTTTTTTTGAGATGGCGTCTCACTCTGTCACCCAGGCTGGAGTGCAGTGGCACAATCTCGGCTCACTGCAATCTCTGCCTCCCGGGTTCAAATGATTCTCCTGCCTGAGCCTCCTGAGTAGCTAGAACTACAGGCATGTGCCACCACGCCCGGCTAATTTTTTGTATTTTTAGTAGATATGGGGTCTTATCATGTTTGCCAGGATGGTCTCGATCTCCTGACCTCGTGATTCGCCTGCCTTGGCCTCCCAAAGTGCTGGGATTACAGGTGTGAGCCACCATGCCCCGCCCCCTACATCTTTATTAATGTCCCTTGTAACACTTATTCAAATGGGTAGTGATTTCATGATATGTCTGCTTTTAGTTATTATAGCAGGCATCACAAACAAAGAGACATGTCTTTTTTAGTCATCAATATATATCAAGCCCTATAACATAGAAATATGCAAGAAATATTGGGTGAATGAGTGAGTGAATGAATGAGTAAATCAGATGACAGGCAGGAGGGAACCCTGAAACCATGAGTTCAGAAATTTCTGGTGACCTCATTGAGTAGTTTGGCATTGATGTTAGCATCATCTGCAGGAAACGAGGTTTCAACTTGCATGTGTAATGAAGCAAATCAGAGAAAAAGCTCAACAGCTCTACTTTTTATTGGAAATTGTCACACTTTACCAAATTCTTGGTCAGAGGCTAGGAAATATCAGGAGAGCTGGGGTGAAAGAATCATCAAAAATTTATGTTGTAGTATTCCCAATTGTAACCATCCAACAGGCTCTGTATTTACCATCTGCCTGTTACTATTTGGGAGTCCCCCTTAGCCCTGTAATTTGATTCTGAGAAGTATTTCAGCAGTTGGTAGATAACAGCCAAGACTGAAAATCCTACAGTGCTGACCAGGGCGTACACACCCCAGCCATGGAGACTCTGAGGAGCCTTCATGTGAACCTTTGACAGCCAAGATCTTTCAGGATGACTTGAAGATGGGGGATACCTTAAATGTGAGCCTGGGCTAGAATTAAGCCTGTGAGGCAGAACCGAACGATTGCATATCTCATTGAGCAACCTCAGAACTTTCCATTCTCTTCTATGTGCTTTTACAAAAAGGACTGCCAAAAGGAACCCAATCTGTGAAAAGATTAGCAGTAACCTGACTAACCTGGTAGGTACATACACATCTCTTCATCCTTTAATCCGAACGCATCTCCTTTCCTGTCCCAAGTTTCCCTCTCTCTAGTGAAGCTATATTTGTGTTTCAACTGCACTTCCTGTTTCCACAGCTCTGTTCAGTGTGGTAAGGTGTGTTTGGTGTCAGGACTTTGGGGATGCTGGCAGAACAATAACTGTCAAAGTCCTCAGTGACTGACACACTTGCTGCATTTTCCGAAAGCAGAACCAGTCACACCCCATTTGTCTGCATTAATAGTCCTGGCAAACACCACAGGAATCACATTTTGGCTTCTTCCCTGAGAATGAGATTAGAATTGTTAAGCACGAGTGTTCAGGAATTGCACCTCAGTTTTCCTTCTTCCAGGTGGCTGGAAATCTCCTGGTTATTCCATAGCAGCCCCGACTGCTCCCTCCCACATAAGGGATCTCCTCAGAGTCAGTGCCAAAAGATCTTCCCAGTGTCAGTGCCGTCCTTCATGGCATTCCATGATAGCCTGGTCTTGATCTCCTGACTTCGTGGGACAGGAGGGGAATGTTGGGAAATTGTTGTGAGGTGGTTTGGAAGCACGTGT